CTCCCTCCTACTACTGATTCATATCATATGACTATTTCTCCATATTTAAACATGCACAACAATGAGGCAACTTGCCCATATATGCTAGAAGGCCTGTGTTCACCTATTGTCTAAAAGGTATTTTCTTCCAGAAGAGGCATTCTAAGATGTGGCCTCCTGTATGGAAACTGAAGTAGTACAGTCCCAGTCACACCAGAAGGAAAAAAAAATAGAGAAAGTGAAAACTAGCCAGGGGAGCTAAGAAAATATTGTGATTACTGCAGCATTAGCTACATGTCCATTAAGTAGACATGTGTCTGCTGTGCTTTAAAAGAATCCAGAATGTCCTTTTGGCCACACACATGTTCACTCCAGTGAAATTGGCTAGGAGACAGTGATTAACAATGCAATGCTGAAGGCCCATCAGCCAAAACCTAATTGGTAGTTCCAAATAGAGTAGACCCATCAAATCAGCTGTTGCATATTAAGCCCACACTTAGGCAAAGCCAGTTGCTTCAATGGCTTACTTTATTTGGGATTTGCAATTGGATTTAGGCAAAAAAGTTCAATGTGATTTAATTTACCATGGATTGTGTGTAGGACTGAATTGTGACCGCACCAAGGCAATCCAGCTATCATCACTTCTTTCTCAACACTCTAGGCAAGGGAAGGTACTGGTTCCTTGAAAGCCTCTCCTAGACCTGGTAGTAGTAAAAGCCAAAAGTCATGTTGCTTTGGAAACTTTTTTCCAGAGTAGTTTATGATCATTCAAGGTTTGTAAAATAAATAAATAAATAAGTAATAGCTAAGGGGGAGAGCCAGTGTGATGTAGTGCTTTGTGTGTTGGATGAAGACACTGGGGGACAGGATTTGAATCCTGCTAAGCCATGGAAACCCACTGTGGCTGTGGGCAAGTCACACTTTCTCAGCCTCAAAGGAAGGAATGGCCAGACCCTTTCTGAACAAATCTTGCCATGAAAATCTTCACCCTAGGGTCATCATAAGTTGGGAAAGACTTGGAGGTACACAGCAACAACAAGTAACAGGGCCTATTTCATTCTTGAGGAAATGCTTATGTACTAATGTGTTAATTTTAGAAATGTAAACAAGAAAGGAGGAAGGAACAGATCTAGCAGCATTTTTTAAAAAAACTAGTGGGTTATTTTAGTATGATTTCTGGTGGATTTCAGTCTTCTTGAGTGTTCATGATGATAGTCTTAATCTTGAAATTGCTTTTTCTTGGAGCAGTCCATTGGTTTATGGGATTGCTCCAGATTACAGGAACTAGGAATTCCAACCTTCCTTTTTCTACACAATGTTTTCTCTCTCAAATACCAGTGCATAATCTCAACTTCCTTACAACAAGAGGAGGTCTGTAGATTTGTGCACCAGAGCAGTAGTGCAAGTAGACTTTGGGGCAGAGATCTACTCGGCAGAATACAGCAGGGCTGGTTTACAACATTTTGAAGTAACTGATGTATTAAACATTACTGTCATCAGACAGGGTGTTTAAAGACCCACAAAAGCAGTAAAACACCAACAATAGTTTGATGAAAATGCAGAGAAGGCAGCAGCTTATATTTGCTTGTCTGTAGATCCCAGTATTGCTTACCATATTCAAGGTTTAACTGATGCAAAACATATATGGGACAAACTACAGAAAGTATTTAATTATCCAAGTACTTCTAATCAAACTTGTTAACACCAAGTTTCATCATCCTCAATTTTTAAATCAGCATATTAATGGCTTTACGACAACTTTGTCTGGAATTATTGCACCTAGAGAATCCTTTCCAGAACATGCAAAACTTGGACTGCTTTTGGCTAGCCTTTCAAAATATTACTCTCCAATAATTAATGCTTTGCAAGTTAAAGGAGATGTTTCTTTGCTATTGCTCAAGTTGTTAAATTTCAAAATAGGCAGAACTTGATCAGAGGCAACTATAATGTGAAAACAACAGACAAAGAATTAGCTCAATTTCTACAGAAGATTTGCAAAAGTCCTCCTTTTCCTCCAGGTCAAATAGAAACAATGTTAACAAGTCAAAGCCAGGAGCTGAGCTGCAAAAGCTGAATGCCAGGAGCTAAATACCAAATACAAAAGCAACGTTAAGAAAACAGCTTTTAACCCTAAACAGAGATTTTCCAGTAAAGTTGATATTGGTTTGATTCATGAACAATTTTTTCAAATTGCTGGAAATAAATATAAAAGCCTGGTTTTCATTGATAGTCAAGCCAGTGCAAACTATTTCAAGAACAAAGAATGGTTTATTGATTTTGATGCAAATATAACTTTTCCTGTCTATCTTGCTAACTTACCTTCTTCCAGAACAAATCGACACAATGTTAACAAGGCAAAGTCAAGAGCTGAGCAGCAAAATCCACATGTGAAGAAAGGCAATTTTAAGAAAGCAGCTTTTAACCCTAAA